AGTTTCTTTTATTAATTCTTAGATTTACCTTTATCTTCTGGGTCCATGTGTAATTCTGATAACTCTCCTGTTAACCTAAACTGCCAGGAAGATTGGTTCAATACATAAAATGAAAGTGATAGTTTGATTGTCTCGATCTCCTCCACTTGTGCCCCTGCTCATTCAATTACTAATTAAATTCAACGCTGTGAAGTGACTCTGCTATGTAAGCAGTTCTGGTGGGTTGGTGAGTTAATTTGATTTAAGTGGCCACTACACAACAAAAATCAGCCATAGGACGTAATATGACTGGAGATCATAGTTTCCCCCATTCAGTGGTGGACCTGGAGGTCAAATTGTAGGTAATAATAATAATAACAACTTTATCCAGTGACATAGGACGTAATATGACTGGAGATCATAGTTTCCCCCCATTCAGTGGTAGACCTGGAGGTCAAATTATAGGTAAATAATAATAATAATAATAATAATAATAATAATAATAATAACTTTATCCAACGACATAATTGCCTACGTTATGTTCACAAAGAAGGCAACATCAGTTGGTAAAGATAGCCACATCGAGTCATATGATGACTATCTACATCACAAGATTAATATCCTATTTAAAAAAAAAAAAAAACCAGTGACTAGCAATCGGTAATCATTTTCAAGGAAATTACACAGGGATAATTGAAAAGAGAGAGCATGTCTGTTATGCACAAATACCAACTTATGACAAATTATTGTTGCTGTGTAAGCCTCAAAGAAAACAGAGAATTTTGGAAGATAAACTGTAAGTTTTCACCTGCCATTTCAAATTTCCAACAGGATTGGTTCATCACCTAGAAGAGCTTAGGTTAAATATTTTATCACAATGCTTCAGGGTCATCTCTAAACCAATGTTTCATGCTCATAATAAGTCCTCCAACTTAGATTGGCATAAGGCAAATTAATCCAGAAATGCATATGGATGCATTTCAACATGGTGCCTGTGACAGAGTTGATATTTCACATGTCACTTTGGAGGATTTGTCGAGATGGTTCTAAGCCTATTTCCGGTCATCTTATTAACAATCCATAGTTCACTGCTTCACATAGATTGACGCTGATGTGTGGAATTACTAAGTTCCTCGTAATCATGAGGCAACTGTGACAAAAACATATGCAATATATATGGATATATTAAAAATTAAATTATTATGATGTTAGACTAGAAGAACAAATGAGTTAGATCAAAAACCATATGCCTTGTCTAGTTTGTAGCCACCTGTCCAATAATTCAACCGACTGTAATCTCCTTGGTTATCTTATAACTGGAATCTAGAGAAGGAATCTGAAGAATTTTGGCAACTATAGATGCTAGAGCATATATTATGCTCAAACATTTTCTTCAATACACGATTCAGAGATTAAAAATTGAAAACAGCTTCGTTACTGTATATCAAGTTCAATTGTGCTGAAGTTTGAAGAATGCTCAATCTTACATTGCAGTCACATACGAGAATAAAGATTGCAAATGTGTGTGCGTGCCCAATGATCTCTATCATGTGATTCACATCTATTTAACTTTTAACAAAAGCCAGAAAATTTTAAAAAAATTAAAGTTACCCGTTTCTATACCTTCCAGACATAAAAACAGCATCATATTCTCCACGACCAGCTGCAGTAATTCGCTGCTTCAGTCTTTTAAGAGATGGGAGAACTTCAAATGCCGGGGGTTCTGCAAAGAGCAAGAAGGAAAGCAATCAAGGAAAAAGTAATGCAAATGAACAAGTGAAAGTACTCTAAGACCACAGAAGATTTCTACCCTTAACTTATGCTGTGATGCTTCTACATGTAAATCAGGACCAAATGTACAAAAATTTGAGAATGTCAATTATAGAAATGAATGATTTGCACTTACAGCGGCACAAACTTAAACAACTCATAATCAAGGGGCGTAACTAAATATTTAATGTTAAGTCACACCAATTAATCAAATTGGACTCCAAATACCTCCACAATTACACCTCTTAAAAGCGTGCTCAACAGGGTCAAATAAAAATGTAAAGCTAAAAAAAAAAGGAAAGAAAAAGGATTCAAACTAAAAACATTCAGCAAGAAACATACCCAAATCATTGACACAAGCATCTTGTGAAATTCCATTCCTTGAGATCTTTTCCAGCAGTGTCAAAGGATCAACATTACTAGTCTGGTCCAATTTTAGACGCTGTACCATTGAAATTTGTTAAATTTATATCTATCTAATATTAAAACCCATAGCAAGCCACATTATTCACAAGCCGTGAATACTGCCACTTGTTATATGAGGCTTCATTCAATGTACAAGGTGCACCATCTAATTATAGTGACAACGAAGAGCAAAGGATGGTTTGTTTATTACACTCAGAAAATCACCTTGTAAACTTCCACTGTTGAACATGCCTCTTGTGGCTTTATGAGAACCATTGGAGTGTCCAAAGGTACTGGAGGAGGAATATCTTGAACAACCTATGCATATGAAAGAAAAATCTTAAATGAAATCACATCAAGTAAGCCTAGCTGCCTTGCAAAAAGATAGAAGTTCTGTAAGTCATATCCTTCAGCAGTCAAAACTTTTCTTGTAGAGGCTTTTCAAGCTCTCAAACATCCAGTTGTCCTGAGATTTGTGATAATAATAATTTCCCAGTAGACATTGGGATGGTTGAGAGCTCAAGCTCTCCATAGCCAAGCCTTTTCTCGAATTGCTTCATGGGAAAGGAAATTGGACAGACCTCACCTCTACCAGTGCAATAGGCTGCTCCTTGAGAGAAAAAGAAAGGGACATCTGATCCAATCTCACTTGACCATTCTTGAAGTTCTTTCTCTGTAGCAAGACAACCACTGAATTGATTTGCTGCCCATAACGCAGTTGCAGCATTGCTACTCCCACCACCTAGCCCTGCCCCACTGGGCACCCGCTTATCAAGATGAATCTGCCAAGAATATGAATATAGGCTTGATAAATTAAACATTCTACTATCCTCAAAGCCTATTAATAAGAACAAACATGAATGCTTATACTGAAAAAGCTAAACAACATGAAGTAGATGGTATATCTAGGTCACACCCAAAAATACTTTTCACTGCCAGTCTTCTTCCTGTAAAGATTAAGCGCCTTAATAATCTGTAGAAATAGAATAGCAGAGCAATCACTCTCTGAAGAATATGAAAACGCAATAAAAGAGGAGTAGTTTTGAAAGCAAAGCATTAGTTTTCTTTATCTTACCAAATTACTATCATCAATGGGCACCCCAGACACATTAGTGGACAAACGGTCCTTTATTGTTGATGGTGACAAAGAGAATTTAATTGTATCCCCAAGACTTATAACCTGAAAATTCAAAATGGGCCTGATATGGATAAGACTAAATGGTGTCATCTAACATATTTAAAAAAATATTCTTTCAGAGAAAACATTGAATCATATATAAATTATTATTATTATTATTACGATTATAATTAACTTACATGGAATAGAGACGCCAAATCATGATAGCCATCTACCCTCTTGTTGGTAATTCTCAAGAAAACATTTATCTGTACCAAACAGTTAGCCAATATCAATACATGGAAGTATGAAAATATAGGAGTGCCTCAAAGCAAAAGAATGAATAATACCTTGCAAGGAGAGAACAGAGTAAGCCTTGAAAGGGGAGCATTCTTGTCCACTTCATCAGCCAGCCTGTTCACCCTTTCATCAGGATCATACACAATCTAATTCCACCAACATTAAAAAAAAAAAAGAAAAAGAAAATTTAAAACAATCAAAACAACACTTCCATAAAATGTCACACCGGAACTTTAACCCAAGGGATAAGAGAAAAACCTCTACTTGTCTCCTGAAGGCGTTGGAATCAGAAACCATGGCTTTAAGTTTAAATCTAACCAGCGGGGTTCTTTGAAATTGAATCTTTGAGGCAAAATTGCAAGACCCATATCCGAATTGACGTTGATGGTTGCTTCTAAATGAACTTTGAGAAGTAGAGAACAAGTGGTTACTGGAAAGAAACTGAGAGCAAGCCATGGACGGCCAAAAATGAAAGAATCCTGAGGTCAACCAATGTGCTGCTCTATTGCTGTCTCTCCGTCAGGGGATGTGTCGATTTGGACTGAATGAATGAATCTTCTTCTCTGGCTAATTTTTCAACTCTTGCATGTTTAATTAATGGAATGTTCAATCCCCTCGGTCATACTCGTTTTCTTCGTTTCCTCTGACTAAGTTACATTAAAATCGTTTTGAGGTCAATAAAATTAATATTTGGAAAAATTACTGAAAAATCTCATACAAGGATATCAATTAAATTAAAATTGTTTTAAACACTCATAAAATATAAAAATTACTGCTAAATTTTAAATTTAATGAAATTATAACTTGATAAAAAAATAATTTAATAAAAATTAACTTTATATCTAAGTTATCATTTTTTTAATCAAGTTGTCATTTCTTTTGTCAAGTTATTTTAAAAATATTTTATATATTTTATGAAACTTTTTAATAATTAAAATCTTTACAAGGTTTTTAGGATTTTGTTTAATATTTTCCAACGACATGATTTCTGTATTAGGAATACTATAAGGTCAATTTTTTTTTTGGGTGCAGAATATAAATGTGCAATGACTTCTTTACTATTATTATTATTTCAAAAGTAAAATGAAATATTCTGGTGTAAAAAATGGAATAAAATAAAATTTCGATGGCGGCGCCGCCATCAGTATTACTTATCAAATGTGTTAGGTCAAATTTCACTAATGACATGTTTACAACAGCAAATTGTTTTGGGAGAATTACATGTCTCCATACAAAAGAATTAACTATCATAAAAAATAATTATTATAAAATTTATTAATAACTAAATTTATAAAGTTTATTATCACAAGTTCACTTGATAATAAATCTTATAATAATCACTTTTTTTGTCTGAAATTTCAACATAATTTTTTCAATTATATTTGAAGTCTCGAAACCATTCTTGAAAAAATCACCATGAAATTTTTACAATCATTCAAAATATCTAAAAGGGAACAAAAGCTGGGGGTTCAACTCATCAGAATTCAGAACCGCGGTCGGAGCTGAACCCGAGCAAGAGAAACAAGGCTAGGAAACTTCACCCGAGAGATTTGATTGTATGTATGGTTCTTGCTATTTCTGGTCTACCATTTTCTTCTTCTCTTCCCTTTTCGGCTTCAGGCTTGTTATTTTCAGTTTCTGGAAGGTTCGACTTCCGGCCTGTATTTTTTTAATAATTACTATTATTTTCCTTCAGACCTCTCTCCATCGCGTCAAAAACCCAGTAAGAACCGAGATTACAGTTTGAACACCTGCAATGGCATACTGTGTTCAAGGAGAATCTTCCTCAGGCTCAAACTCTGGAACTTCTAATTCAACTCTGAAAAGGAAATATGACGTTTTCTTGAGTTTCGCTGGACAAGATACTCGCTTGAATTTTACAGATCACTTGTATGCTGCTTTTGTTAGAAGTGGGATCAGAGCTTTTAGGGATAAGGAAGGAATGGAGAGAGGAGAAGTTATATCACAACAACTCCTTCAAGCAATTGAAGATTCTCCCTGTGCAGTTGTTGTACTCTCTGAAAATTATGCAAATTCTACCTGGTGTTTGGATGAACTCCAAAAGATCCTTGAATGTAGAAATAAATCAGGTCAGCAAGTTTTCCCTATTTTTTATAGTGTAGATCCATCTGACATAAGACACCAAAGAAAAAGTTATGGTGAAGCTCTCGTTAAACATGAAGAGAGATTTAGAGAAAACAAACATAAGGTGCAGAAATGGAGGAACGCTTTATCACTGGTGAGCGACTTGTCTGGCTGGGACACTAGGGGCCGGTAAGTTTTTTTGGGCATGATTTCATCATATTTCAGTAGTGTCAGTTAGAGGTAGAAAAGATAAACCATGACTCAGAAAATCCTATATATAATACCTTATCTATTATCCAATGCAATCTAATTCATGGAAGGAGAAAACTTATTTACCTTTTTTTTTTAATATCCTTGGTATGCTGTTGTTATCCAAGTAATATATGACGTCTGTCCTTTTACTCCTCAATATTGCCCATGTCAGTTACTTGTTTTCTCAGCAATAGAAATAATTGTTCCAAAGCAAAAAGTAGATTGCTCTTATTGTAAATCAAAGTTGTCCAACTGATTCATCTCTTATCTTTTCCATCAGCAATGAATATTCTTGTCCATCAATAGCCAATATCCTTCTTCTCCAGCACACCTCCCTTTTAAAACTCTAATAAAGCATATTGACAACAATGGAAGAAGCCAGCAGCAAGATTACCAATCCACTCACTCCCAAGCTATGGAAGTCCGGAAATAAACATGCTCCCTCGATTTTTTTTGTAACTTTCGGTCATTCAGGGGGGGTGGGGGAAAGATTAACTTACAATAAATTCCCCTGTAGCACAGATACCTATTTTTTTTTTCTATTTAACTATTTCTTGTAAAACAGTAAAATTTTTAAATAATTAATTTTCTATTGTAGTTTTTAAGTTTCATGGTTTCATTTGATAGGTCTTTGTTTTAATTTTTTGAGAGAAGAATAAAATCTTTAATGATGAGTTGATCAATTGAATGGCAGTGTATTTTATTAAGTTAATAAAAAAACATTATATATTTCTCTACAAACTGAATAGTGAAAAAATTACTTTTTTCTTTTGAAAATCAACTAATGTTTAAAGGTTTGATGGATCATTTTCCTGCCCAACATTCGCAATCAATTTATTTCTCCATCTCTGTCTTCAATTATAATATTTTTGTGTCAAAATTGTAATAGCAACACTATTATATTAAAAAACATTATTCTTGCTTGAGTAAATAATATTCACGAAAATCAAATTTTCTCATTTTTAAAACTTATTGTGACTATAATTCATATTAAGCTCCTTGAAATTTGTTTCTTTTTGTAGGCCAGAAACAGAGGTAATCGAAACATTGTAGATGCAGTATGGAACAATTTATGTTCTAAAATGTCATCTTACCATGATTATTTGATTGGAATTGACTCAAGTCTGATTAGATAGAGTTAGATGATGTTCGATTTGTGGGGATATGGGGTATGGGAGGGATAGGTAAAACAACACTTGCTAGAATTGTTTATGAAAGAATCTCCAGCCAGTTTGAAATGTGTTGCTTTTTGTCCAACATTCGAGAGGTTTCAGAAAGAGAAGATCCAGTTCATGCACAAAGACATCTTCTTTCGCATCTCAACATAAGTAATGAGGTAATCATGAACAAGCATGAAGGAAAAGCCATTCTAAGAAACCTTTTTTGCAGCAAAAAGGTGCTCCTTGTGCTTGATGATGTAACTCACATGAGTCAATTAGAGAATATGGCTGAAAGTCCAAAGTGGTTTGGTATGGGGAGCAGAGTAATTATAACAACAAGAGATATGCACTTGTTGAGATCTCTTGGTGTGCATGGAATATATCAACTTGAAACCATGCAGAAAGATGAATCTCTTCAACTCTTTTCTAGGAAAGCATTTAGAAAAGATTATCCTGAAAGCAATTACTTGATGTTGTCTGAATCTGTGGTTAAATATGCCGGAGGTCTTCCTTTGGCACTCCATGTTCTAGGTTCTTTTTTGTGTGGAAGAAGTGTACCTGAGTGGGAAGATGCTTTAGACAGGCTAAAGGAAATTCCAGAAGATAATATTATTCGAAAACTTAAAATAAGTTATGATGCATTAAATTATCAAGAAAAGGCAATATTTTTGGATATTGCTTGTTTTTTCAATGGATGGATGAAATATGAAGTGACCCAAATTTTGAGAAACTGTGATCTCCACCCTACAATTGGAATAAATGTTTTGATTGAGAAAGCTTTACTAATTGAAAAGAAGAATATGTATGGAAAATGCATTTTAGAGATGCACGATTTACTTCAAGAATTGGGTCGGAATATTGTTTTCCAAGAATCTCTTGATAATGCTGGCAGACGTAGTAGGTTGTGGAATATAGAGGACATCAATGAAATATTGAAAGATAACGCAGTGAGTGGTTTATTTTTTCATTTCTATTGAAATAAATGTAACATTTTTAATATGCTTTACTTGCTTATCATTCTCATGTTATTTTTTGTGGCAATGGACTTTTTCTGTTAGGGATCAAATGCAATACATGCCATTGTTACGCTTTCCCATGCTGAAGTAGAAGTGCATCCTGAAGTATTTTCAAAGATGAGAAATCTCAGACTTCTCTACTTAGACTGTGGATTGAAACATCCTATAGATTTCAAATGCCTTTCCAATGCATTAAAAGTAATTGTGTGGTTGCATTGTCCACTAGAAGCTCTTCCACTTGAAATTCCACTGCATAAACTTGTTGATATTCAGATGCCTTATAGCAACATAAAGCAACTCTGGAATGGTGTAAAGGTGAGATGCTTCATGCATATTGTTTGTCTTACATATATATTGGTGTCGATTTATATTGGTACGTTGTTTTGTAATATCAGTCCTCCTATCTTTTTTTATCAGTTTATGAAGAACTTGAAGCATATTGATATGAGTTATTCTAAAGATTTGACTGAAACTCCAAATTTCTCAGGAGTTCCAAATTTAGAAAATTTAATTCTTGAATGGTGTATATCCCTCATTGTGGTTCATCCCTCGCTTGGAGAGTTGAAAAAACTTGTTGAAGTGGACTTGCATGGATGTATAAGACTTGAAATCCTTCCAAGAAAATTGGAGATGAATTCATTGATAAAGTTGGATCTTGGTTATTGTTATGAAATCTCAATGCTTCCAGAGTTTGGGGAATGCATGAAGAAATTATCTTTGCTTGATGCAAGTTGCACTGCTATAACCAAACTTCCTGAATCACTGGGATTCTTAACTGGTCTGCAAGATTTGGGATTGAGTGGCTGCGAAAATATTGATCTTCATCCCTTTACTGTCAAAAAGTTGTTGGGCTTTAATCTAATGTCATTAACAGAGTTAAACTTAAGCAACTGTGGCATTAGTGATGGATCATTCCTGATGATTTTGGGGGCTTAACATCATTATTTGCATTGGATCTGGGACGAAATGATTTTGTTAATCTACCAATTGGTTGCTTCTGTAATCTGCATCGTCTACACTATCTGTTTTTGAATGATTGCAAGAGGCTCAAGTCACTACCAAAGCTTCCACCACGATTAATTCGATTAGATGCATTCGGTTGTGATGCATTGGAACCTTTATCAGATCGACAGTTATGGAATGTCGTTTCTTCACTTGACCATGAGGTATGTTTTTATAATTATAATCTACCTATTGATGTTGATTTATGAATCCTTTTTTAACTTTATCCATGTAAACGTGACTATTTCCTTGTTTTAGTATCGCCATCAAACTAAATATACCAATTCACTGATCCAGCACGATGAGGTACATATGTTAGGTCACTCTTTCTGTATTATTTAATCACATGCTCGTCTTGGTAATTACTCTTGATGATAGTTGACTTCTGTTGCAGTTAGAATATCTACCTCAAAGGGATTTTCTCACAATTATCACAGCACTTGAAGTGCCATCATGGTTTCAAAATAAAGATTATGTTTCTTCATATGACTACAGTGGGGAATTTGTATTAATGGTGGACATCCCTCAATATTTTCGTGCGAGTGAATGGTCAGGCCTTGCTGTATGCTTGAATATACAAAGCTTTTTGATGTCTGAGAGTGTTTACATTTCATGGAGTAGCAAAGCTCCGGAAGATGATAATTATATATGCAAAGATTGGTCACACGTTATTGGAAATGGTTTGAAGCAGGGTCATCACCTCTGTCTAATGCTGTTGCATTTAAATGATAAAACATGTTGGCAACATTTAAGAGGTGATGACAGTTGCCTTCATATCAAACTCAGCCTGCGTTGTGCACTTCTTGAAGACCTTGTAATTGTCGGTTGTGGATGGCGAGTTCTATGTAAAGATGAGATGAAAGAGTGGGGCAGCTTTAATGATTTCAGCAAATCAACCAAAGCAGAAGCTGGAGCTTCTAAGGTCTGTCTTCCAGATTCTGTAATTCACAGAACAATAAAAAACTTTCAAGGAGAGTTTGGAATACCTGTTGAGGCTGTTAGGCAGGCCCACTTTACCCATTTTAAAGAGTGGCATGGGCGGGAAAAAATCAACTCATAATAAGAGCAGTTCAATCATGATACATCTCACTTAGCTTGTGGGTAAGTGAGAACTATTACAGGTAGTGTTTTAATTTGTAATGACCCAAAATTTAAATTGAATGATTTTCCTTCCCTATTGATATTTTATTTAATTATTTTAGTCATAGCATATGAGGAGTAGAGGTCTAATAGAATTTATATTAGTTATTTATATGGAGATCTATAATTTGAATCTTACTTAAGCCAAATATTAATTTTATTTTTTATATGAGAATTATTAAAGTTTTCTTACATCTTTTGTTATTAAAAATATTATGATGATAAAAAATCTGTGGGGTATCTTTTTGAAATTTTTTCCAACCAACATTGGGTTTTGTTTTGTGATTTTTCCCATGGTTCTTTGTCCAGAACTCTCTTTCCCTTTTTGGTCATGTATTACGCACAGTGAGGGATATATAATTCATTTTCATTCCTTTCGCTCTTCTCCTTCTTCAACCAAGTCTTTTTTCTTTTCCCCCGTCACCATCAACTTCTTCACACTGTAGGTCTGTTTCTCACCTTCACTGGTTTGTTTCTGTTGCTGGTCCATTTCTGTCGCTGGTTCGTTTCTGTTGCTGGTTTATTTCTGCTGTTGGAAATTATCTTCTGCTGCCTCTCTGTTCTGTGTCGATGTTGGTGTGTGTTAGTTGATGTGTGTGAGCTGAATCATTTGAGCTGAGGTGCTGCTCATGGTTTCATCTGCTTCTTGGTGCTGTTTTGTTCTTCTGCTGTCCATGTGTCGTGCTAGAGACTCTTCCCCTGTTCAGCCATAAACTTCAGCTCCTCCTCTTATCTTCATCATTTGTGCTTTAAGGTGAGGAAGCTTCAAGCCTCTTCCCTCTTGCTCAGCATGTATGGTGTGAATGTTTAATTATTGGTAATTTAGTCTCCCTCGTGCTACTGTGCTTGTACAAGCAGTGAAGAGAAATTTGATTTAAATTGATATTTTAGTATTGTATGTTTGTTGAAGGTGAATAAATTCAATATTCTTTGAGTTTAAAATTTCTTATGTTGAATGCTTGTAATTGGAAGGTTGGATTACTTTAAATATAGACTTCAGAAAAGTTTGGGAAATGAAATTCGAAGAAAATATGTTTGATCTAAGCTTGAGAATTAATGCATGTGAGGTGTTTGACAAAATATTTGTTTAAAGAAATTAAACTTGATTTTTGAGAGTTCATTGAATTATTGACTGTGGATGAAATATAGTTATTCAAATGTTGGTGTTTGATATTATTGGGTGATTATTTGTGGATGAAAGTAAACAGATTGGGATATATAAATGGTGATGATTTTGGGAGAGAGTTTATTTAAGGCTATGGGAAGTTTATTGAAATTTTATTGTATTTGATAGGATCATTAGAAGAAGAGAAAACTTAATTGAAGCTATAAAAAGAGAATTTTGGGATTGAAAAATAAGCTAGGTAAGTAATTAACATTTCCCAATAAATAGAAGTAATGGTCTTCTTATTTATTTTATTTTTTGTCTATTTTAAACAAATTTTCCTATGGTACCTTATTGATTAAATTGACATAATGTATAGAGATATCTTATTCATTCTTTGAATTTATTTATGCAGTTATTTTTATGATATTTTATTTTCCTATGAGTATTATACATGCATGGATGGGATAAATTACTAATGAAAAGATTATTTGTACTTTACAAATTAAAAAACAATTTGAACTATAAGGATTTTTAGATTCCATGCATGCCGAAATTGTTTTATAGGACTAAATACAGAATGTTGGTTGCTAACGACAGTTTCGTTAGCCTTTGACGTGCTATGATACACCCAACTAATAGGGTATATTAGAGGTGCTAGTCCTGTGTCAACGCACGTGGAAGGGAGGATAAAATTTCGTGGACTTAATCCACGTCTGTTATTCGTGAACTTTGTGCTTGCGCTTATTTTTTTTCGTGGTTTCTAGCGATGTCGGATGTTACTTATTCTCGTGGATTGTGTGTTCACGCCTGTTATTCATTTTGTCTAAGTCCTAACAGAAAATAATTTTTTTTTTCAAGTTGTTTTTCACTCTTAAGAACTGTATTTTTATGATTTGTTTTATACACAAGATATATTTTTAATTTGTTGTTTATGATTATCATTATTTATTTATTTACTATTTTGGGGACGTTATTCATTGAAAATTTTTTTTGATATTCAGATAGTAGAAATGGACTGGCTCTTCAGTAGATCTCGTGGGACTCCTTAAAACAAAAAGTATTTTATTGCTTCAATTACATTGTGGATTAATGTAAATATTTAAACATTCTATTTTTGTTCTAGAATAGCTCCACGAATCATATAGGCAGGATCCTTAGTTAAATTATTTTGGTTTGTATATATTGTATCAGAGTAGAACTTTGAATGCTACTTGAATGTGCTTTTTGGCAGGTTGTAGGGATTTTAGGAAGTCCAACTTAAAGCAGAAATTTTGTCGAAATTTTTATAGGTAGCTCAAGTATTTTGTTACTATTAATAGTTGCTTAATATAAATGATGATTGTACGACAAAATTTGAATTAATATATTAGACTTATTAAGGGTTTAGGTTTATAGAATGTGTTTTCTTGCATTTTAACCGATTACATTTCAGAAGTTGGGGGTGAGACATTAGTATGAATTAAAATCCTTGTAAATTGATAATAGTAGTGCAAATAATTGTTATGGTTTGTTGTTTTTGGCAACGTATGATATGGCTTCCTCTCAATCTTCATGAACATATTTACCACTATACCATGCTACAGTAAACTCTCCAGTGCACCAACTCTAGAGAGTCAATTTTAAGAATGTCAATTATAATTATGAATTGATATTTTTTTATTATTCAAGGTAATTTTTTTAATTGACAATGTTGACTGAATTCCCGTATTTATTATTTCATTCATTTTAATTATTCTAGAATAGTCATGTATTTATTATAGGATGGATCTTTCCTCTACATATATGAGTGTGCTTTCGTTTTGAAAGAATGAAGATCGCCTCTTGTTCTCTTTTCCGTTGCGTTTTATTATAATCTTATTTCCTAAATATACTTGTTTTGTTCATGGTATCAAAGCATGGATCCTCTCTACACTCTCCCAATATTCGAGTGTTTATCCCTCTGCAAACAACTCAAATCTTTTGAGTTCTCATCACTTTCTTTACATTATAATAGCTTCCTTTCATTTTTAAAGTTTGTTTTTGCTAAATCTATCTCCAACGGATTGGTTAACAACTATGGTGCAGTTGTCAGAGGTTGATTTATCCAGAGGAAATTTGATTAAGGGCTTCTCTAAATATAGTTGGAGAGATATGGACCTATTTATGTTCTAAATTACCATCTTGCAATGATAACTTTGTTGGAATTAAATTAAGAATGGTTGATTTGATATCATTCTTAGATATTGGGTTGAATAGTGATTGTTTTGTAGCTATGGGCGGCATCAGCAGAACAACTCTTACTGAAGTTGTTTGTGGGGGAGGGGGGGGGTGGAATTCTAATCAACTTGAAATGTGTTGCTTTCTTGCTAATGTTAGTGAAGCTTCAGGGAAAGAAGATCAAATTCATTTGCAAAGAGAGATTCTTTCACATCTTGATGTGAGTAATACATTGATCAAGACAAATAGGACGGAAAGTTTATATTAAGAAAACTTTTTCTTCGGGGGGGGCAATAGTTCTTGATGATATAAATCATATTAGTTATATAGAAAATTTGGCTGAAGAGTCCAAAGTGATTTGGTGAAGGAAGCAGATTAATTATAACAAGTAGAGATTTGCATGTGTTTAAATATAATGAAGTTCACAAAATATGAAGTTGAAACCATGGAGAGAGATTATTTGCATGTGTTTAATGAAGTTCACAAAATATGAGGTTGAAACCATGGAAAAAGATGATTCTCTTCCAACTCTTTTCTAAAAAGGCATTTAGAAAAGATCATCCTGAGGATGATTACTTGAAGTTGTCTCAATTTGTGGTTGAATATGCAAGTGGTCTTCTTTTGGCACTTCAAGTTTTAGGTTCTTTTCTTTATGGCAGAAGTTTACAACAATGGGAAGATGCTTTAGATAGCTTGAAGCAAATTCCAAATGGCAACATTCTTCAGACATTTAAAATAAGCTATGATTCATTAAATGAGGAAGAAAAGACACTCTTTTAAGATATTGCTTCTTTTTTTTTCTTTTAGAGGATGGCCAACAACTACAGGAACAAAAGTTCGCTTCACATCAAACTTGGCCTTCTAAATAGGTATCATCATGGAGATCCCATTTATCAAATATTAGGATGTGGATGGAGTGTAATATGTAAAGAAGACATAAAGAGTTGTGCAAATTAACTATAAAAGTAGATGACCATAAGGTTGGCACTTCTCAAGTATGTCTTCCTAAATTTGTATTGGAAAGAAGAATGGAGATATGTAGCTTGGAGCCCAAGCAAGACAAGGAGAGAATCTTTCAAGTGAAGGGCAATCATGACCGAAAGAGAAACAAATACATTCATACAGGATATTAAATCAAAGTTTATACATTCATCACAAAAGGCAATAAATATTCAGCTCAAATTGTGTAATGGTTGACATATAATATACTTCAGTATGTATAAAGTCGGCACCATTATATATGTAAAAATTTGAATTCGTGGAAAATGATATTAGGAAAGGCACGTAATTTAATGAAAATATTTAATTTATTTTTTACATTCTCATAATATGTCACGAGCTAGTTATAATTTTTTTTTTTTCGCGGAAAATTATTATGAAGGACCTTATTTCTCCTATTCACAATATTAGTCTAGTTTGAAAATATCTACGGCACTTATATTTTTCCTATTTTGGCCTTATGTATAGTTAAATATTATGAGGTAATTAATATTATGATCATTGACTTTTAGCAAGGGTAATTTTAAAAAAATATTAATGAGCCAACTTACGTTAATTATCTTCTTTGATTTGTGTGCAGTTTGGTAAATTGAATTTACATTGTGAACAATAGGAGCATTTTGTTTTTTAAAAAAATGAATTATCCCTCGGTTTCCAAGTATAAAAGAATTATAACTCATTTACACTATTTAAGAAAGTTAATTAGGTATAATAATTACTCCATCCGTTCAAAAATATAAGCTATTTTTTGAAAAGTTAGATGTTAAAAAATGTAAAGCATTTTTAATCTTTTGAGGTATAATTATTATCTTTTTTTTAAATATCTTTATTGATGAATAAATTTATATTTATTGTATGGTGTTTAATACAAGTAAATATAAAAAGATAGAATTAGTTTGAAAGTAAATAACTATTTTATTGAGAATAAAATTTAATTAAAAATGTCTTATATTTTTAAATAGAGGGAGTATGTTTTAAAAAAATTAGTCTAAATTATCTGTATAATTAATGAAATAAATTTATGATGTGACAATAAACTTTGACGTTAAGTAAGGTAATTAAAAAAAAGAACGTGATACATGTTTCTTAAAATTTGTAATTTTATTTATAAAAAAACAAGAAAATATGTTATAATTTCTTTAAGGTTAAAAGTACAAATTTAATCACAATTTTTTAAATTATTAAATAATTTATATTATAAAGTGATGTAAAATAAATAATCAATTAATTAAAGCAATGCACCCGTCATTGGTGGTCCATTCTCACTTTGGTTTTTATAGTACGGCCACCAAGGATTGATTGCTTCACTCTCTCCTCGCTTCATCCCCACTTTCTTCAGTCTACACCGATGCTGTTGACTTGCCTCCACGCTCTCTGCACATTCCATTGGTCTAGACAGCGAAGTAATTTTTCATCTACTGCTTGTTTGGTTCCTCAAAAAATGACTAGCACGACAGGAAACCAAGAGAAAATTTCAGTGCTCTATTTTGGGATGACTTTCAAAAGCTTTGATACAGTAGTCTCAGATTAATTGATTGTTGGTGCATGTTGTTGGTGAAATATGTAATTTCATTACTTCTTCCAATATTGTTAGCAAGCTCGGACATGGTCATTGATTGTTCTTGTAAGTGTATGAGATTATAATAATAATTAATTAGAGTATTTCAGGTGTCAAACTCATAAAAAATTACACTTTTACTAATTTAAATAATTAATAGTTTAAAAAAATATAAAATGAATAATTTTGATGAAAATATCAATAATAAAAATAAATCAACAAAATAATGATGATGAAAATATAATCACTTAAAGTGTTGGAATTTAAGATTCACTCTATAGGTTACTAGTTTATACTTTTTGAGTTGACTTTTTAATCAGTTATAGTAACAATTATTCATAAAATGTCCTAATATTCTCCTAAATTGCTAGTCCCTTTTTAATTAGCATTTAATTCATTCTCACGATACCCAAACAACTAATTAAACCGTAAAAATATAGTTTAAGTCACTATAAATTTCTAAAACTATTCCTAACCTAGTTATTTATGTCTATTTCTCTAGATATAGGTTCTTTCTTTACTTTTCAGTCCATCAAGATCATTCATAGATTTGATTAAATGGTGGCCAATCATTAAATCAATATGAAAAATAAAAGAAATAAATATAATTGAAAAAAAATATTTATAAATATAAATGCAAAGAGTAAAAACAAAAAAAAAAGAAAACTAGCTCCCCAGTTGGGTCACATCCCTACCCCAATTGGGTAATTTAAAAACACATAATAAAAAATACTGTTCTAAAATTTTCAATCATAAAAAACAATCACAGAGAAAATTAAGGAGTGGAAAAGAAATAATTATGATTTACAGAACTTCTCAATGATATCGCTTTCAATTTTTAGAATGCTTCTACTAGTTCCAAATATCTCAAAGAAAATTCTTGAAATATTCAGATAAGTGATTGAATAATTTTTCTCTCTATGAAAAGGAATATTTATAGTTAAAGTGAAGATTTTTTTTTATTTTTTTATCAATATGAGACTCTAATATATTTATATATATCAGGTACGTGCCGCTCTTTGTTTCTTTCTTTGAATATCATGCGGATCCTCCTCCAAATATCTTCATCCGTCTATACGTGCCAAATAAATATATATGTGTGTACATAAGATTCCAATTACTTCCTTCATTCGTGTATATATATATATATACACACATATTTTTCTTTTCTTTCTTTTCTTCTATCTAATTTATTCTTTTTCCCTACAAAATATAAAAAAAATATGAGTCAATTTTATATTAAAATCCCTTTTTATTTTATAATTAAGTGATAAAGGAAAAACATATAAATATTAATTAAATAGATATAAAATTTCAATAAATATAATCAAATCTAAATAAAAATGTATACTTATTTAATTATAAAATATGCACTTAATTATCAGTCATGAGTTTGTTAGACTTTACAAAGGCATCATGCAAATGCTACATGACTTTCTTTTGTTGCCATTAATTACAATTCGAGTCATATCATCTGTTAGGAGTTTTGAGGAGTTAGCGCTTGATATGGCAATTTCCTATGCGACACCGGTCAACACCCATAGAGCCGAAAAAATGGATTGAGCCTGCGGGCTAGCCCATTTAACCCGTACAATTTGATGGGTTAGGTTAAAAAAAATTGGCCCG